TTGTCGTTCGACGTGGAGGGCTAAGGGGGAGGCCTTTGTCCAGCAGTGGACGTCTTCCGGCTGTTGATGATGATGATTCTACAAATAAATTTTTGTATTGATCCGCTGTTCAAATTTCATTATTGCCGTCTTTTCTAGGTTTATGATCAAATTATTGTGTTTTAACCAATTTACAACAGATTCAATGTTAGCATTTATATCTGCTTCTAATGTTTCTAAGTCATCACCATCAAATAGTAAGATACTGTCGTCTGCAAACATGGTCATTGGATATGTTAATGATGTTGGAAAGTCATTCATGTAAATAATAAACAGAGTCGGGCCAAGGACACTACGTTGTGGTACGCCGTAAGTAACAGTTCTCTGACCAGACCTATAAGTTACCTCGCTATCTTTAGTGATTCTACTGATAACTGTCATTTGCCGTCTGTTATGTAGGTAGGATTCAATTAGACTCAATACGTTTCCTCTAATTCCATATGCATTTAGTTTACTTAGGAGTATTTTATGATCAACGCGATCGAAAGCCTTTGTCATGTCCATGTAAAGTGCTACAGCTGGTAATTTCTTATCTACTTGACTGCTAACTTTATCTAGAAAGTCGTATATGGCCATATCAATGGACTTGTTCTTCCTGAAGCCTTTTTGATTGTCAACTAGTAAATTATTTTTTTCAAAATATGAAGTAATTTGATTATTAATTACTTTTTCGTAAATCTTAGAAAATATTGGTACCAGAGCAATAGGTCTGTAACAGGACATATTTTCTCTGTTGTCTTTCTTAAAAAGCGGTTTTATTATAGTAATTTTTAATTCACTGGGAAAAGTCCCACACTCTATGCTCAAATTAATAAGATAACTCAATATTGGTGCAATAATGATGGATACGTGTTTTATAATTTTAGTAGATATATCATCGTACCCAGTGCTAGCTGTGTTTTTGAGCGACATTACAATACGATGGATGTCAACTGGTGAAGTAGGGGACATGAACATCGAAGTATTTTTATTATTATTAATCGTCATTTTATAAGTGTCAATATTGATATGGTCAGTTAATTTTACTTGATCTACAAAGAAGTCATTAAAAGCTTGTGCTATTGCGTCAGGATTAGTTAATAGTTTTTGATTACAGTCAATTTTCATGATATATTCATTTGGTATAGTGGTTTTGTTCCTACTGATGACTTTCCATGTGGCTTTCCCTAGATTCTGAGCTGTGCTGATAAATTTATTATAAATGCGAAAGTTTGTAAGTTTATGATTGTTTGTGTGTATGTTTGTTACTTAATCACCTCAAAACGGCTGTAGGGATCGCGATGGAATTTGTAACAGTGATCGATTATGGTCTGGATTAACACACAAGCTTTTTATATTATACTAACTTTTACCCGCGGCTTCGCTCGCGTCACAAAAGGATAAAAAGCCAATGTGACATATACCAATACACACAGCGCCATCTATACCAATACTTTTGATTTCCCTTGGGAATATCAAATTTTTCCGGGATAAAAAGTACCCTATTATTTAATCCGGACTTCTAACTATACCTACATCTGCAACAATTCAAAGCAATCGGTTGAGTAGTTACGGCGTGAAGCAAACAAACAAACAAACAAACTCACTTTCAGATTTATAATATTAGTAAGGATAGTAAGGACTAGCTGTTTCCCGCGACTTCGTCCGCGTATAATAATGACTTGTGGCTTTTGGATTTTTTTAATTAGTCTTTTCCAAGGTTCTCATCAGAATCAATTTAGTTATATTTATTGTGAAATGTTGTTTATTTTCGTGATTTCAAATTATAAACAATCCCTACACGGATTTTGCCCGTATTTTTTTTTATTGGGGAAAATCATCGAATGACTTCTCCCGCCCGGGTGAGGCGGGAGGGAGTGTCAGACTCTTACTGACTAAAAACCACCCCGTTCCTACTCCTGCACGTCGAGCCGGAGTACCGGTTACCCGTTAGGTTCTCCGTGACTATTTTGCCCATATAGTATCCTTTCCCTAAGGTTTCAGTGATTAAAATTCCATTTGAATTCCAATCAAATAGATACAGTAATTAAAAACTATCAGGCGTCATTTTCAGGGTCTCAAACTGTCGTTGTAGAGAATTGCACTCAAATATGTAGGTTCAGTGGTTTAAGCAATAGATAGTCCCGGACTTTTAACGCATAGTTCCCGTCCCGTAAGATTTCCTTTCCAGTGCCAATGTCTCAAACTCTCGTTGAAACGAATTTCCATCAAATAAGTTCAGTGGTAAATAAAATTAGTATTCAGCCTCTTTGCATACCATAATCCTTACTTCCTTACTAATATTATAAATCGGAAAGTGAGTTTGTTTGTTTGTTTGTTCCGCTTTTACGCCGTAACTACTAAACCGATTGCTTTGAATTTTTGCAGACGTAAAGTTAGAAGTCTGGATTAAATAATAGGGTACTTTTTATCCCAGAAAAATTTGATATTCTCGAGGAAAAACGAAATTATTGATATAGATGGCGCTGTGTGTATTGGTATATGTCACACGGGCTACTTTTTATCCTTTTGTGACGCGAGCGAAGCCGCGGGTAAAAGCAAGTGTTGTATATATTTACGCGGGAACTCGGGCGACGCTTCTAGCAGAATCTAGTTATTAATTAATAACATATTACATAAGCCATCTTTTGTCTAAATTAAGTAACAAAATATTACACTTTAACATTGTTTTTTTTTGTCCAAGAAGTTTAATTATGTAAACTGGGTATTGTATTTATAAACGGTGGCGGTAATGGATTATTATTGTTACTTGTACATTAAACCGACTCAAAAATATACTAATTGGGGCAAAAACCTGTCTGGAGACCTTGAGAATTACAAAATTATTTTGTTGACTGAAATTTTTGGGTTTTACGAAGTGATTGTACAATTTTCTGTTAAAAATCCTTTAGAATTTCAACAATGTTTTTAATTATTATGTATTCATATTCATTTAATCATTTGCAAACATGGGTACATAATATATAGGTGTTAATAAAGTTTATAGTTTTTCCATATGTTTTCTTACTCACGTAACTGTTTGACGAGGAACTCGACTAGTTTCAAGCTGTGTCAGAGGCTCATATTCATGAGTAGCATTCCGCGACCCGCTAATTAATTTAGTATGTCTCACTAAAGTTATAATATAAACAATGTTTTTAGCGATCCGAAATCGATTATAAACTTTTTCAAGTACTTCAGTCGACGAGACTTAATTATAATCTTATTCGCATTATATTGACAGCAGATCAATCAACAGACATACTTGGTAACATTGTGTTGAAACCGGATTGCCGGTATCTTATCTTCCCGAGCGTACGTCGCGTCGCGTTCCGCTCGCACCTTAAAGAACCATCAGACCACGGATAGGGCCCAGTAGGGCTGATGCCGATACGGAGCCGCAGAAAACTTAACGGGTTACCAGGGCTTCGGCTCGAAGTGCAGGAGTAGAAACGGTAGTTTTTAGTCAGTAAGAGTCTGACACTCCCTTCCACCTTACTCAGGCGGAAGAAGGCATTCGATGATTTTCCCCTCTAAAAAAGCATCTTATCTTACTTATCTAATGAATCCCTTTTTCCCTTGTTCACGGCATCACGCGTGAGGGGCCGTTCAAGTATTACGTAAGCAGATTTCTTACCATTTTTTACCCCCCCGCCCCCCTTGTCATAAAAAATAAGCAAAGCACTTACTCCCTCCCCCTATGCTTACGTAAACATTTTTAGTAATAAATGCTTTTTTATATTGTTATTTTTAAAATAGGAAAATTCATGGAAATATTAGGTTTAACTGATACACATAGAGTAAATGACAAAAAATATAATCAGAAATAAAGAACATAACTAACATAAAGAATATTTTCGGAACACATTAACAGTCTTCAGTCCATGAAACCTGAATCCATGATTCTAAGTTATCGATGACATTGGATTGCTGCTCAGTGTTGTGAGTCTGCTCATTTTCATCCGATTTTGTCCCAGTATGAGATTTTTTAAAACTTTCGAACAGTTTTTGGTATAACTTGGATTTGTCTATATGATATGACATTCTAATAAGATATTTAAATTTAAATAATTAAAACGTAAAACTTTGGCTAATTGCATCAACATAAACACAAATGATAACTTTCAATGCTTACAATACGTTTAGAATCCAAACAAAACAATACTGATAGATGCGCACTTGCAGCTTGCGGCCGGCACGAGAGCGAATTATTAGACAAGTGAATAGCGCACGGTAATTTCCCTAATGCGTGGTAATTCCCCTAATCAGTTCTCAAAGCGAGTGCCTACGCATATGTATTATTTGCGGGAATCCCCGAAAAAACTTGAATAACTAACGATGACGTAATCATCATCTAGACCCCCCCCCCCCATGTCATCCAAAATAAGCAAAACAGAGACCCCCCCACCCCCCCTTGGTGCTTACGTAATACTTGAACGGCCCCTGAATGGCTGGACCGATTTGACTAATTGTTACTTTGTTGTATTTGTTATTATTAGGAGAAGGTTCATAAGACAGACAAAATCTTGAAAATCCTACGGGAATGGGAGAAAACGGGATTGCGCGTACGAAGTCGCGGGCAGAAGCTAGTAGTATTATAAATGCGAAAGTTTGTGTGTAGGTTTGTTACTTAATCACTTCAAAATGTCTGAAGGGATTGTGATCATATTTGGAACAGGGATAAACTATGGTCTGGGATAACACAGGGTATTTTTATGTCACGGGAACCCGGACGAATCCGCGGGCAGAAGCTAGCAAATAATAAAAAACACGATATGCAACCTGAATAATACCTTGTAACAATTTTTAATTTAAAGTCTTTTTCTTTTTCAAACACGGAATGATATCACGTCCTCACAGAAAATCGTCGTAAAACAACGCCGTCGTAAATGCGATTAATAAAACAAATAACTGTCCTCACTTTTTTCGTATTACAGGCATATGCGGCATATTATTAATATGTTATGTTTTATTGATTTCAGACAAAACTGGACATCAGCAGAAACGGGATAGTGGACCAAGAAAATCAATTGAGAGAATTGAAGACGGAATTGAGGAATGTTCAGGTAAGGTCTCTAGTCTGATTTGATGAATGCACAATTTATTTAAAGTACTTAATTGGATAAGGATTAATTCTGTATTGTTTAAAGTCACTTCGTAAATAACCATTGATAGTAAATGATAAAAAATGATTATGGTGGGTTATCCCTAATAGATAGACAATAATAGACATATACCATCGCGGATTTTTCTGTTGAACTTTTTAAGGTGGACAATACTGTAGCACATTATTTTGGTCTATCTCGTAAGATACAGCCAGCGTTTGCAATATAAGCCCAAAAAAAACGTGCTGATTTACGACATCACATTAGAAACCTCTAAATTTATCAATGTTTCTCTACTATATTATGCATGTATTATACCTCTACATAAAAACCTTCCTTAAGATCACTCTATCTATTAAAAAAACCACATCAATATCCGTTGCATAGTTTTAAAGATCTAAGCATACATAGGGACAGGCAGACGGTGGATAGCGACTTTGTTTTATACTATGTAGTGATGAGTGATTCGGTTTCTGAAATATTTCTCAGTATGTGATCTATACTTCTAAAGTAATGTTATAAAGAGGTCTTTGTTTATTAGTTTGTATATAGGGTGTAATCTCCGGGAGTACCAATTGAACCAATATAAAAAAAGTTTCAATGGTAAAAGGCTACTTCGGCATACTTACTTATATACATAGGTACTTAATGACCATCTGATGGTAAGCAATCGGCGCCGCCCATGGACACCTGGAATACTTAAGGCGTTACAAGTACGTTACCGAGCTTTGTTAAAGATTTGAGAAGATTTATTGACGAGGTGAGGATCGAATATTATTGTAAATGACAATATCAATCTTTTTTAACAGGCAACCCTAGAAAACATAGAGAATCAACTGACCAGAGCAAAATCGGATGCCAAAGAGAAGTTACTAGAAGCGAAAAAGACTTGCAATAATAAATTACCGGAAGATAAAGATTTTCCATACAAAAGGGAGTTTGCAGACTTGCCGAGCGAATTGTCGAGGTTGCAGGAACATTGTTATGAGTTGCAGACCAAAGTCGACTTTATGGATAAAGGCGATGAACAGGTGAGTGCACTCCCTAAAGGGGACGGGGCTTAGCGGGGTCATTTGAAAATTGATGATAAAGTTAATGTTGAATATTCAAGAATATAGGCGAATTGTTGTAAGAGCGATTGTCGAATGAGAACTCGGGTTCGATTACCGGCTCGAGTAGTCTTATTGGATATTTAATTTGATTTTCGCAACTTGTCAGTAATGAATTCTAAAGTACCATGGCATTGGGATGATGACAGGGTATGAAAATTAAAAATCTAATTAGTCCGTAAGTTAGTTAATGAAAAAATATGAGACACGTATTTTTTTATTTTGTCGTATAATAAAACAATACTTAGATAAAACGAATCAAAGTTTAGGAATGGGGTTAAAACGTCATTTCTACGTATAAAATGTTCATAGAACTGACGTCACGCGACATTTTAAGGCCTCTTAAACTGTCAAACACCAAGCGGTCACCGGTGACCGCAACCTATTGTTCTTTAATTGTGTCTATAAATACGGTACTCGACGAGTTAATTAGTTAATTAGGCCTCCGTTTATGCTCTTACCCTTCATTGAACAAAATCTTTGTACAGGTTATAAAAGAATATGAAGAGCGAGAAAGGATGATAGCCAGGCTGCGATCTGAGGATATGAACTCTAGTGATATGACGAAAACGCTCGAAGCTAAGATGATCGCTGTCAAGTAAGTATATAGGACTTCTTTCTTTTGTAAGACGCCATTTTATTTACAACAAAACATCACGTCTTTTGTCCCCGAAGGGGTTAAGCAGAGGTGCATATTATGCCACTGTACAATGTAACACCAACTTTTCACCATTTATGTTATGAGTCCCATGTAATAGGGGGTGAGCCTATTGCCATATACCGGGCACAATTCCAGACTCCGTGCTACTACTGAGAATTTTTTTTAAAACCCAGTAGTACTTTGCCCGACCCGGGAATCGAACCCGAGACCCCTTGCCCGGCAGTCGCACTTGCGACCACTCTGCCCACGACGCAGCCTTTTAAAGTTAGTAAAATTAAAAAAAATTACTAACTTCTAACCACGGCTTCGATCTCCAAATGTCATCCCGATCCCTTCTTGGCTTGCTCAATGCGGGTTCGCGATTTCAAACTTGTAATTAGAAATTATAAGCCCAGGTTTCGTCACGGTATTTTCCTTTACCGTTTGTCAGTGGTGTCTAAAAATTAAAGTAGGGATTAACAAAGTGGAAATAATTTCATTTATCATACTTTTTTGAGAATTTTGAAAGTCAAAAGAACTGTCTCGTTGGTAGAGTGGTTGGAAATGTATCTGCCAAGCAAGGGGTTGAGCTAGGCTCGGGTTCGATTGCCTGATCACAGTATTAAAGGTCGGGGTATTTGGAATTTTCTTAAATCTCTCAGTAATAGTCTGAATATCAAATAATTGGGTACTTGCCAACTAGCCAAATTCAATACTTTTTTGGAACTGTCAAAAACGAAAACTTTCTACGAATTTTGTACGAGATTGTGTATTGTGACGTCACGTTTTATTAGCGTCAAACAGCATACTTATTTCTTAAAATTTGCTGGAAAAATACTAAAATTAAGTTAGTCATAAAATCGATTAATGAAAGTGTGATTATTTTTTCACATTTTATTATTTTGAACAGTCGAAACAATTTATTTTTGATTAAGGCAAGTGCCCAATTACATGGAATGGTACACATAACATAATAGCGAAACGTAGGTATGTTAGAAATGTTTTTTTTTTCTTTTTCAAAGGAACGCATGGTTGCCGCCCTTGGAGAATTTGCTTCGCGATATCGACAGGAGTTTCGGCGATATGTTCGCGAAATTGGGCTGCGCCGGTGAAATCAAACTCGAGAAAGCTGGTGATGATGTAAGTATATTTATGACCTGTATGCGTCACTTCGTCCGCGTGGAAAACGTGTCGCGGAGAACCTAACGGGTAACCGGGGCTCCGGCTCGACGTGCAGGAGAAGGAACGGGGTGGTTTTTAGTCAGTAAGAGTCTGACACTCCCTCCCGCCTCACCCACGCGGGAGCAGTCATTCGATGATTTTCCCCCCTTAAAAAAAGCCTAAGTTGCTCCTTAGTAAATTAGTTACCTGCCAACAAAAGTCCCATCAAAAATCGTCCAGCCAATTCATGCGATGCGGTGCGACGCGGCGGCTATGTCCTACATGGATGGGAGTCGTTTCGCTTCGTTTTTGTTTCAAACTCAAACTTAAAGCATTTATTTAAATTAAACCATAATTTGGTACTTTTGAAACGTCAACAAATATGAAATAAACAATAGTCTGTCTGTCCGTCAGTGAAGCTAGGCGCTCGTTCCAAAATGTCGATTCGAGTGGAGAAGAACGAACAAGAAACTCCATTCGTTACTCTTTAAAAAAAAAGTCTGTTTTACATTGCTCTGATACATATTTCAATATTGTACACACATGTGAGAAATTTCCATCATTATAACCAAACAAAACCAAGAAAGCATCGCATACAAATATGACAGTTCGTGCGAAAATATCATACTAACTGATCACGCCCGCGTTTTTTCGCACCGCTCCGCACCGCATCCCACGGGCGTATTGTCACGTAGGTTTCGACATTTTGTTGTTTTCACGCCGCGCTGCACCGCTTCGCATTCGCATCTAGACCGCTCACGCAGGACGTAGCGAATAATAGAAACTTAGTCAGACGTTGTGAAACAGGCTTCTAGTCGGATTTAGAAAGTGTAAGAAATATACAGTCTTAAAAATTTGCCCTATTTTTTTGACAATAAATCTGCATCTTATCGAATTCAATTATAACTGGTCTAATTGAAAACTGGTCAATTATAACTCAGTGAGACATTTAATAACGATAATGTATATTGTTACCACTTCGTTATATAAATCGTGTATTTTTATCAAACTATAGACCATTATTTTCTCCCACATACATACATAAAAAGCTCTTAAAAAAATTCCCAACCTCAACAGGACGACTTCGATAAATACGGCATATCAATCCTGGTGCGGTTCCGTGAATCGGAACAACTACAACAACTCACTCGACACACGCAGTCCGGCGGGGAGCGAGCGTTGTCCACTGCGCTATATTTAATGGCGCTGCAGAGACTTACTACTGTGCCATTCAGGTAAATTCTAGCCTTATTTTCATGTCATTAAATTTATATATTTAAATTTATAAAGGTATATTTTGGCCTTTACTGCCTCGTTGGCTGAGTGGTCGCAAGTGCGACTGCCGGGCAAGGGGTCTCGCGTTCGATTCCCGGGTGGAGCAAAGTATTACTGGGTTTTTAAAAAAATTCTCAGTAGTAGCACGGAGTCTGGAAATGTGCCCGGTATATGGCAATATACCGGGTAGATGGCGCTGGCCGTCGCAGTAACCTCGAGTCCGTGTTGTTTTATTTACGAAAAATAGTTAAAAACACTTTTACAGTATCAGTACCACGTAAATCTGTGTAATAACCCTTAAAGTTTATGTGACAGTGTTATCCAGTGAAATTTGTGACGGACCTAATCAGGAAATAAAAACTAAAAAATAGCGATATAAACAAATCATCCAAAAGAAAATAAGTATATTCTCCATAATAAAGCCCTGTAAACCACAAGTTAACGACGAAGTGAAGTGACAATTTTGGCCAGAAAGAATTTAAATCTCTGTAAAACAATAATTGAGTGCTGTGTGTTCGAATGCAAAAATTTTTTTCTCTGCATAAATTATACACATTATTACCTTCTTTCTTAAATTAAAAATCTAACGACGAGACATACGTTTGAAAATTCTGTCACTTTGTGTTATGTTTACATAGCACAACATATTTTGGCTTGACTTTGACGTGAATGAGCATGAGATCAAACCCCAGTGGTCACACAAGGTACTTTTTGAATGATTTTCTTCGAAATTGTTTGGCTGTTTAGAACATATTTCGACGATAATTTTAGTTGAAATATTAAAAGTATAATAACTTAATACGAAAAAAAAAAAATGGATAATATCACACTTCGTACAAGAAACGGCAGATCTAACTCTGAAAATGATAGGGAGAATTTATCGGATGACGAGTCAAATAATAACTCTTCAATGAATTGTACCACCAGAAGTTTACTTCTGGAACAACATGAGGATGACTCATCAGAATTACGATCACAAATTCAGGACCTGAAGAGACAGTTAGAATCTGCCCACGAAGAAATCACAAACTTAAATTACGAGAACACTAAATTAAGAACATTTACGGAGCAACAATCAGTGACCATAAATCTACTTAAGAAAATATCTCTGGGTAGCCCGACTCGATCCCCATCTAGCATCAACTATAAAACACCCTGCACTACGAAAAACAGAAGGCTACAAATGATTGTAACTACTCCTCGGACTTCTGTCTTATCATGCGACAAAGTCATATACAATGCGGGAGAGTTATGTAGCTTATCTCTAAACTCCACTATAAATGACATGCATAGCGTAAGCGCGGGAAACAGCACTGATTATCGAATGCACAACTTAAGTACATCAGAGATAAGAAATCGACAAACAACTACTACACAGGAAGCGCCTACACATTTTTCCACCGCAATTCCAACGAATAGTGATACCATGCTCGGTCGAGGGAATGCTAAAATAGTGAACAAATATCCACCAAAACGCCGAAGACTCATGATCTTCGCCGACCAATCGGGTTTTGGTATGAGAAAAATGCTACAATACTACCTGGGACCAGAATTTGCTGTCACTTCGGTAATAAAACCGGATGCTCCGATCGACGAGGTACTAACTTCTTGTACATCCATGTGTAAGGACTTTTCCAAAGATGATTTTGTTCTATTACTGGTTGGAGTAAACGACAAGAGCCCCGTACACGTACAATCTTTTCTGTATCACACAATATGGCAACTAAAAACCACTAATGTTCTGTTAGGTAAAGTGTATGTAAACAATTATCTTAATGTCAACTTGCTAAATAACTTGTTAAGACTCACGTGTGGTCTCTTTGATAATGCCAGCTTTGTCATTCTAGACAACAATTTTGATAGCACACCAAAACATGTAAATAAATTATATGCTGCAAGACTTATACATAGGCAAATACTGCAAACTTGCTACATAAATAGTTATATTAATTATTGCAATGTATCATATAAGAAAAATAATGACCGACTTAGTGTTAACGAATACTCAAATCAGACAGTATGTAGGACTGACAGTTTTACGCAAACTGATGATACTTTGCAGCAAACTGAGTTTTTTCGAGCATAAATCATTGAATGATGTTAACGTGGATTCTAGACAAGGCTCACTAATTAGCATATTTCATCAAAATGTTTGTGGTATAAATAACAAGAAAAATCAACTGGAATTATATGTAAATACTTTGGATAAAGAAATGACGTTTATTTGCATAAGTGAACATTTCCTAAATGAGGAATTGACGAACATATTCCACTTAAATAATTATAGGTTAATATCGTATAATACTAGGAAAAATAAGAAAAGAGGAGGATCATTAATCTTAGCCCATGTAAATAGAAATACCGAAAGTGTTGATGTAATCAATAAATTGTATAAAATGGAAGTATTTGAAATATGTTGTCTGAAGGACTGTACCACGGGTTTGTTTTTGTGTTGTTGTTATCGTAATCCGAATGATAAAAACATCGATGAATTTATGCAAAAAATAGAAATATTACTGGATTACTTGTTTAATAGGAAAAGTGTAATATGTGGGGATTTTAACATTGATTTGTTGGTTAATAACAAAAAAAGTAACGATTTTCGAAGCTTGCTTACGTGTTATAACTTCCGCCCTCTTATAAATACTGTAACTTTTATGCGCAATAAATCTGAATCTTGTATTGATAATTTCTTGACCAATTTACCTGAGGATAACGTACTGAGTTGTGAGGTGGATCATAATGGCTTAGCTGATGGCCATGGCGGATTGTTTTGTGATATTTGCCTCGAGAAAATTAACACTCCTTCGCACAAGAAAGAAAATTACATTGTAAGTAATAAAAGAAAATTCAACTCCAGAAACTCTAGGCAATTCCAGGATCATATTTTGTTGACAGATTGGAGTAATATGGGAATAAACTCGTTCTTAAAAACTTTTACAAAAGCATTCCGAAAGTGTTACAAGAAAACAAAGTGTAAAATCGCAGCAAAGAAAAATACTGGAATACAATGGATTACAAGAGGTCTTAGAGTGTCAAGTAAAATGAAGCGTTTCTTGTGCTCTGGAAGTCGTAATGACCTAGATCGAAGTATTTGTAACTACAAACAGAATTATGTTCGAATTTACAAACAAGTAATTACTAAGGCTAAAAGACTTGCGGTCAGTACCAAAATAAATAATGCTAGAAACAAAAGTAAAGAAATATGGAAGATTGTCAAAGATTGTACTAGTAAGGTGAAGACGTCTTCATCACAGTTGAAACTGAAAGTAGATGGTAAAATAACGAACGACTATACGGAAATTTGCAATATCCTAGCCAAACAATTCGATCATATACATTGTTCAGAGAGGTACGAAGCGTCTCATGCAATAAGATACTTAAAGGAATTCACCGAGAGAGTAAATAGTGATATGACGATGTCTCCTGTTACACCAAAGGAAGTATTCGATTGCGTTAAAGAGATAGAATGTAAAATGTCGTGTGGATATGATGAGATGCCAACATTAGTCTTAAAGGAACACATCAGGATACTGGCTGGACCACTATCAGACTTCTTCAATAGGTGTATAGAAGCTTCTGTTTTCCCGGAACAATTGAAGATCGCTAAAATTATACCTATATACAAGAAAGGATGTAAAACTGATCCAAAAAATTATAGGCCTATTTCTCTGTTACCAGCTATTTCAAAAATATTTGAAAAAATTATTAAAACACGACTACTTCTTCACTTGAACAGAAATAAGATAATTAATCGAAGACAATTTGGATATCAAAAGGGTGTCGGTACTTCAGATGCGATATATACATTTGTAGATGATATTCTACACAGATTAAACAGCAAAATGAAGGTGGCAGGTTTGTTTCTGGATTTGTCTTCTGCTTTCGACACAATTGACCACGACCTGCTTTTGACTAAGATGCATCACTACGGAATAAGAGGAAAAACGCTAAAACTGATGTCATCATACCTAAAAAACAGGAAAAGCTTTGTTGAAGTAAGCAGTATTGATGATTTAGGTAAATTCACTGTATATAGATCGGGACTGACCTCTGTAAAGACAGGTGTACCGCAGGGATCCATTCTGGGTCCGATCCTTTTTATTCTGTTTACAAACGACCTAATCAGTTATATAAATACCTTATTGCCAATACTAAGTATAGTGGTTTTCGCTGATGATACTAATGCTGTGGTGGGTGCAAGCGACTTGGAGTCTCTTTCTGACATAGTTAAGGAAGCACTGGTATCTTTTGATGCGTGGTTTGCGGCAAACAAATTGATGATCAACTCTGCAAAAACAAAACTGATGTTGTTTAGAACAACTGCCCGCGACAATGACTGTTTGGCAATCACTCTAAATAACGAAAAGTTAGAACTAGCCAAAGAAGCGAAAATAGGTATACACATTGATGAGCATCTAAACTGGAAACCTGAACTGAAAGCAATGGACGCAGCAATATCATCCGCATGCTACGCCTTGAGAGCGCTTAGAAGCGAAATTGGCATCGAACAACTTAAAATGGTGTATCTGGCGTTGGTCGAATCTCGACTTCGATACAGCATACAACATTGGGGAAACAGTTTTCAGTACAACATTTGCAGAGCATTCACCCTACAGAAGCGGGCCATAAGAACAATAGTACGTATACCTCAAACAGAGAGCTGCAGACAATATTTTACGAAGCTGGAGATCCTGACGGTCCCCGCTATTTATGTTTTGGTAGCTTTAACTACGCTAGCCAAACATATTCACGAATTTGAAAATGCAGAAGATAGAGTTATCAGGGAGGGCACTCGTAGAAAAGATCTCGCTCAAGCAGTATGTCCTCGGTTAAATGTGGTTAGGCACGGTTTGCGGTACCAAGCAGTAAAACTGTTCAATAAGCTACCAGAAAATTTAAAGAGCGCCATTTACACGAGTTCCTTTAAATCCCAACTAAAGCATTTCCTGTTGGACAAGTGTCTGTACTCAATTGACGAACTGTAATAGTGTTATTGCAGTGTTGTTGTTGACATGTATTTTAATTCAATTGTTTAATGTATTAGTGTAGTGTTACTGTTGACATGTATTTTAATTCAATTGTTTAATGTATTAGTGTAGTGTTACTGTTGACATGTATTTTAATTCAATTATTTAATGTATTAGTGTAGTGTTACTGTTGACATGTATTTTAATTCAATTGTTTAATGTATTAGTGTAGTGTTACTGTTGACATGTATTTTAATTCAATTGTTTAATGTATTAGTGTAGTGTTACTGTTGACATGTATTTTAATTCAATTGTTTAATGTATTAGTGTAGTGTTACTGTTGACATGTATTTTAATTCAATTATTTAATGTATTAGTAAAGTGTTTCTGTTGACATGTGTTATAATTCAATAATTTAATGTGTTATCGAAGTGTTTTCTTGACATGTGTTTTAATTCAATGATTTAATGTAGTATTGCAGTGTTTTGTTGACATTTATTTTAATTCAATCATTTAATTGCGGAAAAATTTAAAATTGATCTAGTCTTATCTTGAAAAGTACCCAATTATGTAACTTCTTTCTAAATTGGATTTTTATCATGTTATATTTGATTATTTCGCATTTTATTATTATTTAAATTGTTCTGTTGATTTTATTTTCTGTTTTTGAGTAATATGACTGATCCATGCTGTATGGATTAAATTGCAATGTAATTTATGATTATGATTTATGAAAATGTATGGAGACATTCAGATACAATGTAAATTGTTTATTGAATAAATGAAATGAAATGAAATGAAATGAAAATAGGCTCACCCCCTATTACATGGGACTCATAACATAAATAATAAAATGGGTGTTACGTTGTACACCGGCATTAAGTGCCAAAATATGCACCTCTGCCTACCCCTTCGGGGATAAAAAGGCGTGATGTTATGTTATGTATATTTTGGCTTGTATAGAAACAAATTACGGTCAATGATAATATCGTAGTCAATATTTCTGGCTCTTCTCGATAGAAATTCCTTTTATACAACGACGTTGGCAAAAAAGCACACGGGCCACCTGATGGTAAGTGATTACCATGGTCTATGTATGCTTGCAACACTTGGGGCATTACATACGCCATGCCGACCCTTAATAAATCTATTCTCTATTCTATTCTAATAAATATTTTTAACCGACTTCAAAAAAAGGAGGAGGTTCTCAATTCGACCGTATATATGCTTTTTTTATGTTTGTTCGCCGATATCTCCGTTGCTTATGAACCGATTTTGAAATTTTTTTTTGTTAGAAAGGAGATAGTTCCAGAATGGTCCCATGATAAGGAAATCAGCTTACACACCCACTGATAGGTTAGAAGTCGGTGCCACAAACCCACAACAAAATATAAAGTAGTCAATGGTCACAGCTGGTATAATCCATAATAAAATTGTAAACAGCTCAATAAAGTTAGGTATCTATTAAGGTTTTAATGAATAATTTTGTTTAAAACTTGTGGCACCGACTTCTAACCTATCAGTGGGTGTGTAAGCTATAAGTACGTATGACCACTAATAGTTATTTTTTCCTTTTTAGTTTTTACTTTTTGTTTGTCATTAGTTTTTGAAGTCGGTTTTTTAACGATTTTGTACAATGACCTGTTTAACATTTATTATTCAGCCTATGGTAAGAAATATAAATAAAAACTTTCCAGTTGCCTGATTTCACTGTACACCATTTGTAAGCTAGCTAAATAAATATCGTAATATGTTTCAATTTACAAAAATATTCAACGATTTCATCTCGTAAATCTAATCAAATTAAGGTGTAGTAATTCGAATATATTAATTTCGTTTATGTCCTGTAGATGCGTGGACGAGATAAACCAAGGCATGGACCCTATAAACGAGCGGAAAATGTTCGAGTTGCTCGTCAAAGTGACCACGGAGTCTGATAACGCACAATACTTCTTATTGACACCTAAGGTAAGAGAATAATAGGGTAGTTTCCTAAATTTTATTCGTATGTCCGTCTGGTACATTAATTTAAAACTTTAGACATGTATTTTTTCTTTTCTCATAAAATTTAATACTTTCGACGATATATTAATTTGAAATATCGTGCGACGTCACAGTGTGCCCCTTTTTGTAGCACGTTATGACGTAACGACCTCCCACTTTAATCTAAGTATTGCAACTTAATAAGAGATAATAAATAAATACGTTTCTAATATTTTTCATTATCTAGTTGACGGACTAATTAGATGTTAATTTTTATACCCTGGAAATTTGGAACAATTGGGTTTTGTAATATTGTTAATCACAATGGATATATTTTTTTATTAGCTCTGGTCGTCCCTCTGCAGGGCTAAAGTCTTCGTATCCTCCTTCCACTCGTCCCGTATAATATTTTTACACTACGAAAAAAATGGAGGTTTTACGTAACGTGATTATTCAATGTTCTATTGGCAGTCAAAACCTTAATTCAAAAAGTAATTTGCAAATATTTAAAATACATTCATATTCATATTAGTTCATTAGGAACAATTTTGACTGTCGAGAAATGGTTTGATTCCCGTTACCAAAGTTTTGTTGGGTTTTTAAAAGCATGAAGATTAAAGTTTAGAATATCTCGAGGCTAAACTTGTTTACTGTACTGTCCGCTTCTATTTAAGTAACCAAACCAAATACAATATTATTAATTCTTCTATGCAACTAAATTCTATATTTTCTTTACAGCTCCTAGCAAATCTAAACTACAATGAGAAAATAATGGTCCACACAATTATGAACGGACGAAAAATAATTCACTACAACAATTGGAACCACGACACTTTCTTAGAGAGAGCTCTACAATACAGAATGTCCTGACATTCTTTTATAAACCTTATTACATGTACTTACAAAGTCTATATTTGTCTGTGTTATTCGTAGTTTCGCTGTGAATTTTCGCTCTCTCTAGATGTCGCCAGTGGCGTTTTAAATCAGTAAGACCAAATTTTATATTTTTGTGAATGGATGATATTTTTGTACGTGTTCTCACCCTGTTTTTTGACTTACCAGGGATTTTGGAGTGATGTTAAAATCATTTTAAGTAGGCATATTGATTACCTATACTAAAAAGCAATTTCGTAATAATAATAAAAATCGAAATATGTCTGTCTGTCAATCTTTTTAGATTCCTATAAAGATGTAAAATTTTAACAGCGCAGTCTCAAACGTGATTTTGGCCTGTCTTGGGATCGATTTCCAGATGTGAAACTAGGATTTTTAAAACTCTTAGTGGCCACTAAGAGAATTATCGATTGGCTATAGCACATTAGTGCAAGACCCGACAAGGAGTTTTGGGTTCGATTCCCGGGTAGGACAAAGTATTACTGGGTCTGTAAAAAAACCTCAGTAGTAGCACGGAGTCCGGAAATGTGACGGGTGGCTCACTGGCAATAGGCTCACCCCCTATAACATGGGACTCATAGTATAAATAGTGAAAAGTGGGTGCTACATTGTACAGTGGCATAATGTGTACCTCTGCGTACCCCTTCAGGGATTAAAAGGCGTGATGTTATGTATGTAGCCTCGTTTCATTGCACCTAAGTGTATAATTATACTATTTCGGACATTTAAAAATCATTGTCAAAAGTACAATGAAAATAAATACTTAAAGAAAACCCTTCCTAGAATGGGGTAAAACCGTTACCCTAAGGTTCTACTTCGGGGTAAGTAAAATATCACCAAGTGTCAGTACAAAGTAGGTTGTAGTGTTTTTTTATAAATATTTTTAATTGTAATGTATTAATAATTATTGTTATAGTCAACATTTATTAACTGGACAAATGTATTTTTAATTTACATAATTGGTGTAAAGTTCGGCTGGTTTTAGTACCTTGACTACACAGAGTGACTTGTAACTCGAAGTATTCCTCTCGGGAGGTGATCACACATCACATCACATCAACAGCCTATAAATGCCCACTGCTGAGCAAAGCCTCTTCTCACACGGAGAAGGTTTGAGCATTAATCACCACGCTTGCTCAATGCGGGTTGGCGATTACAAACTTATAATTAGAAATTATAAGCCTAGGTTTCCTCACGATGATTTCCTTCATCGTTTGTCAGTGGTGTCTGAATAATCTTAGAAAGTACATATAACTCGGAAAAAGTCACATTGGTACTTGCCGTTGGTAGGTTTCGACTCGGGAGGTGATAATACTACTTATTTCCTACAAAATTAGTCCTGAGGTATCTAAGGCCTTAGTACGAGTTTGATTTACCTTTAAAGTATTCGAAATGAGTACGCATTCGGCGCTCTGATTGGTTGGTTCATTTGAGCCGGCCAATCACAGCGCAGAACCCAAGGCCTCTGGTCCGAAAGTGGATAGTTACTTAGATATCCAACATTTTCGGTTTTGTTCTAAAAATCCCGAACGAACTACTAAATCGATCGATCTTTCTAAAATGGATTCTTTATCATGTTGGCTGCCAATTAAAACATCCCTGCCATTCGTCTTTGCACTGGCCCCACAACCCAAGTGACGACATCATCATCCGAAAACATCCGAAAGTTATCCATTAGATTAGAATATTTTCACCATTTGGGAAAGCGTATACCCGTAAAAGTTATATTTCTCCAGTTAATAGTGTTGACTATTAAATAAAAGATCAAAATTATTGTAATTTTTCATACTTATGGATGTTATCCATTTTGTTTTTTATGATATCGATGTGATAGATGGTTTAGGATTATTGCGTTAGTTTGTTTGTCCACTGCTCGCGTAATGTATTATCATATGGATTGTATAGAATACAAGCTTAATAAAAATCAAGAAAAAAAACACAAAATGCAAATTCATGAAATGCTTCGTTTTTGACATTTAATGGAGAAAAGAAGAAATAAGTATTGGATCTGATTAGTCGGAAATTATTCGTTAAGTGTATTGGGTACTTTCCTTTATCAAAAATTAATTATTTCGACTGTAGAATATAATATTGAAAAGTAATCACACTTGTAATCTTAACAAAGAAAACCTCGTAAAATATTTTTTCCAACTGGGATTAAGGGAAATAAATTGAAAAAACTATGCAGAGCTGTGTGACGGCCGCCTCTCGCTTGTTTGAACGTCGCGGGTCACGTGCGTCTCGCACATGCGTGTTGACTTTTTCTAGAAGATGCGCACGTTGGTCGTGCGGAGATGCGACGAGTGCGCAAGCGCGAGCGAAGCCTAGCTCGGCTATGTTCGGCTGGCCGTGTGCGTTACACACTTTCATTATTGATTTTATGACTAACCTAATTTTAGAATTTTTCCAGTAAATTTTAAAGAAATGAGTATGCTGTTTAAAGCTCAATAAACGTGACGTCACAATACACAATCTCGTACAAAATTCATAGAAAACTGTCGTTTTTGACAGTCCGAAAACGCATTGCATTTGACTAATCGGCAAGTACCCAATTCCTTTCGAGAATTTGTATTTTATACAATTGACATAAAGTTCATTATTCTATGAAAAATGACCGTTACAAATATTCGCTTTCATTTCATTCCGCGGCGATGTAAATAAAGCCAAAATATTTTTTGGCAAAAAATGTGTAGTGTGTACGTTACGTATACTAGTACTCAGCCCTTTGGAGAATAAACAGGGGTTTGCTACTGGAATTTAAAAATAAATACTTTTATCTCTTTCTAATCACTAAAGAAAGAAAGAGATAACATTACTTCGAGTTTGTGGACAAAGCTAGCCATTTTTTATTGTTATAATGTAAATAAAACGTAAAACATTTAAATGTAGTATTGTCATATACATTAAATGTATAAAAACAAATTAAAGTGATATCTATCTGTGTTGTATATTAAGTTGTATAATCGACCTTAGGTAACTGCATTAAGGGTTAAATTTGCTTCCGTATTATTGTAAGGGTTAATTTATACAGGCACATATTCGAGGCGGATAAAAGGGTAAATCTGAGCTATTAAAGTAAATTAACCCTTAGGTATCTGCTATATAATGCACATATTAATTATTATGTTTTCGGCTCACTCACGTAACTGTTTGACGAGGAACTCGACTAGTTTCAAGCCATGCCAGAGGCTCATATTCATGAATGACTACTGAGTAGCAGCGCGACAGTCGCCGCGTCGCTGGTCGCGGAACACGTGTGCGTTACCCAGGCCAGGTGTTGTCGAAAATTGTCATTTAATTCTTATAGATAACTAGCTTCTGCCCGCGACTTCGTACGCGCAATCCCGACTTTTCCGTTCCCGTTCGCGATTTTCGGTGAATGGTAAAAAAAAATCGATGAAAAAGTATCCTATATCCGTCTCCTGGTTCTAATCTACCTCCCCACCAATTGTCATCCAAATCGATGTAGCCGTTCTTGAGTTATAAATAGTGTAACTAACACGACTTTCTTTTATATATATATATATTAGTTTTGCGGCATCTGTAATCTGCTGCGCTTATAGTTTTTTAATTATTTCACAAGAACATTTCCTGCTGGGGTAACGTTACCCCAGCCAGACCTTTTTTTTCTAATGGGAATATTTAAATAGCAAAAGCACAAGCTATAAAATTGGTTGTCTAGATACGAGATTTTACTGGGGTAACATTTTTGGTAAACTTGTAACAAAATAAGGCACAACATTTACGTCATAAAATTAGTTGTCTAGACAACTAATTTTATAGCTAGTAATTATTTAAATATTCCCATTAAAAAAGAAGATCTGGCTGGGGTAACGTTACCCCAGCAGGAAATGTTTTTGTGAAATAATAAAAAACTATAAGCGCAACAAATTTAAAAATGTGCGCAACAACTACAGAAGCCGCAAAACTAATTATCTATAAGATTTTAATGACCATTTTTAACAACATCTGGCCTGGGTAACGGACACGCGGAACACTGCTCATGAATATGAGCTTCTAGCATGGCTTGAAACTAGTCGAGTTTCTCGTCGAACAGTTACGTGAGTAAGCCGAAAACTAATAAGTATGTCTTAAAAAAGTTTTAATACAAACATAATGCACATATTCCTAATTCACCAATTTTAAGCACCATCATGACTGGAGTAGACTTCACAACATTATCAGCCCTATTTTTTTGACGGCGTATTTCATACAATCCCTTTTCCTGCCTTGTGTGAGGCGAGGGAGTGTCCGACTGACCAAAAACCAACTTGTTCGTACTCCTGCTCAGAGCCGGAGCCCCGGTTACGCGTGAATTAATCCGCGGTTGAGCCCCATTCATGATTCAAAACTAATCGAGGAACCTCCTCGTACACTTACGTTAGCCATATCGTGTTATTAACATAGTATTATATCACAATACGTATCTTCGAAGAAATATTTGCCTTAATTTTCTTTAGAGAAGGTTGTGTTGCTTCGTAATAGTTCAGATTCATGTTTCTGCTAGTGGAAGAGTCCTAAGATCACTTTAGTTACCAGTTCTTTATAATTATACAAAAATGTATTTAAGGTCGATTATATTTTGTAAGATCTTTGGTATGTTTCTGATTTTGTATCTTAGTGTTAGTTCACTTTTTAACGTTGTCTTAGTATTTATATTTAGATGCAATACTGTAAAGTAGACCTTATTGCTATCAGAAATAGAGTAAATATTCAAATTAACTATTTTTGTATACAAAAAATAATTCAATAATAAAAAACTAGAAAATTAGTCTAAAATACTTTTATAAATCATTCCTTCGATTTTCACTCTTATTGCTATATTAGGACCGTGATAATTATTTGGTATTGTATTTTAGTTTTGCGGTCTACCGTACCCTTTTCTCATTGTAATAATAGAGTCTAAAATTGCTTGTAAGATTTGTTTAGTTCTAGTTATCAATGTTCTAAACTTTTCCTCTTGATAAATGCATTTTATATATACCAGAAGTTACAATTACATAGTACATAAATAGATAGATATTTATTCTTATACCAACCCACCCTTATATCTACGGGAGTAGAGTTCAGAATTGTATGTAGATTTTTGTCTAAGAAACATGCATTTCATAGATTTTATGTACCAAATATTGCATTTGAATAACTAAAAGCCATCATTATCCAGCCCATTCTGGTTTTTAATTACTTGAGATATCGTACCGAATATCTCTAAAATTTGTTCATACAAAAGTAGTCTCTAAACATCGGAAATAAGGTCTATAATGCAGTGAGTGGAGAGCGGGCATCGATGACCGCTTGGGTCTTGACCAGTGACCAAATAATGATGAAAAATTTTGGTATCATTGCTCTCAAGCAATCTGATACAAATTAATGATTTATCTAGATGCTGAACTATCGGGCATTATTTTAAATCTTCGAAGAAACACCCAGATTTTGTTATTTATTTTCAAGGAATCATCATAGTCTTTAATTGTAAAGCCTTAGAACACAATTTCCTGTATAATTTCAACCCACCGTTTAAATGGATAACATAATTTATTTATTTCTATGACATTTACATTTTATAGTCACAAATTGTTCTAAGAGCTTTAACTTCACATTGTTGCAATCAAAATACGACCTTAAAAGCAACTGGCAAAAGGTTGATGTTAAAATGCGCTTTGTAAACCCACAATGTTCATTGTTGCTTATTCGTTGTTGATTTATTTGATTTTATATTTGACATTATTATTTAAAAGAAACCAGTGTCTTGAAAACAAAACGAAATTCACTAAAATAATGATTTTTGTAATACTTAATGAATGTCCATCAAAAATAATATAAAGAATTTAAAATATTGTGCTACGCAATGATCACAGAAATGAAAAAAAAAAACACCAAAATTGTCGCCATAAATATGAGCTTTATTCAATGATTCGAAAACAGTGTGTTATTGTAAATAAATATTTTTTTATTATTTTTTTAGTTTTATTTTTTATTGTAAGCACCATCGTTTATTTTATAGTGTATAAAATTGAGAAGAAATATTGAATCGAGGCATATTATTCCAAAGAGGTAAGTTATTACAAAATAATAAAAAAAAAAACTTCAACACAACCTAAGTTAAAAAACAATACAAAATTTTAATACAATTTAGGAATGTAGTTGCCATAGCTTAAATATTACTGTTTTTCCAGTGTATAGCACATTGGCCCTATATAAACAAATTTCTAGTATATTTGTACTAAATATTGTGATACTGCACTGCGTATCAACGCAACAGTCGCCACGTCGTACCGCCGAATGCTACTCATGAATATGAGCCTCTAGCATGGGTCTTGAAACTAGTCGATTTCCTCGTTAAACAGTTAAGTGAGTAAGCCGAAAACATAATAAATATTTTTTAATATGAATATTTGAACTATAAAGTACTTTTTTTAAAGAAAATACAATGAAAAATAGTATTTTCTAACCGCAGTAGCAAGCAGTAGCGGAAAAAAGTACCCACGGTACTATATTGTTAGCTCAGTTTATACTATTAGTAGCATTAATACCAGAGTACTGAAAAGCAGAAATACAATTTTAAGTCGAACTTAAATATCGGTGTCCGTTACCCAGGCCAGATGTCAAAAATGGTCATTTGAATCTTATAGATAATTAGTTTTGCGGCTTTTGTAGTTGTTGCGCACATTTTTAAATTTGTTGCGCTTATAGTTTTTTATTATTTCACAAAAACATTTCTTGCTGGGGTAACGTTACCCCAGCCAGATCTTTTTCTTTCTAATGGGAATATTTAAATAATTACTAGCTATAAAACTAGTTGTCTAGATGAAGTAAATGTTGTGCCTTATTTTGTATTAAAATTTGTTCTTTCATCGGTTGCGAAGTTATTTGAGATTTGCTGGGGTAACGTTTTTGGTTTCCCTGTATTTGAAATGGTTAAGCGGATCACAGAACAATTACAGAAGCCGCAAAACTAATTATCTATAAGATTAAAATGACCATTTTCGACAACATCTGGCCTGGGTAACGGATACGCATTAATACCCGAATACTGAAAGGCAAAAGTACAATTTAAGTTGTATTTAAATATCGTGCCATCTCTATCACTTTACACAGTATTTATAGTGACAGAACTATACTGAAGCGCGACTTAAAATTTAACTTTCAGTATTTGGACATATGTTAGTGTTTGATACCTATTGTTTAGGTAATAATGAGCTCGTATGATTAATTCTCAGCTGATTGGAAAAGGGGCTGCATTTATGCACATTAATTAAGGCCTAAAAAGATTTAAATCCGAAGCTAGCATGAGAATGACAAAGTAAAGTATTCCAGGGCACTTAGGGAATATTTGTATCTCCATTATCACCCAACCCTGATGTGATACAACGTTTTTAAATAGACTTTTGTCTATTCAAGGAGTCTCAATGTTCCAACTGCACTCCTTGTCCAGTCCACTGCTCATCCAACTTCACATCACACTCCAAATCTCTTAAAGCAGACTTGATGTCGAAACCGAAATCACTCGCGAATTTATCGTAGGCTGCGTTTAATATAGCTTCGACTCCCAACTCGTGGAATTTCACGTTCTGGCCGCGACATCTTGCTACCATGTTGCGAATGGCCCAGCAAGCGTTTTTCTGTAAAGTGAAAGGTAATGAGAAACTCATAAAAAATTGAAAATGGGGGCATGGATACGTTTGATGTTCTTTTGATTATTTCAAAACAAGATATTACAAGTGAATGCCTCGTCGGTCGAGTGGTTTCAGGTGTTCAACAATTTCGGTTTTCGGTCGGTAAATAATCGTTTCATCGCCCCTCTAATCTGAACATCGATCTATTAAATCGCGAAAAGTTCGTGTTCCATTGTAAGTGTACTTATACCTATCCTTCGAAGAACAATAGGCAACTGACAACTTTGTATTATAAGTCACATTGAAGCCACATCTTACCCCACTGAACCGTATACGTTACCCAGGCCAGATGTTGTTGAAAATAGTCATTTGAATCTTATAGATAATTAGTTTTGCGGCTTCTGTAATTGTTGCGCACATTTTTAAATTTGTTGCGCTTATAATTTTTTAATCATTTCACAAAAACATTTCCTGTTGGGTTAACGTTACACTAGCCAGACCTTCTTCTTTCTAATGGGAATATTTAAATAATTACAAGCTATAAAATTAGTTGTCTAGATAAGGTAAATGTTGTGCCTTATTTTGTGTTGGTTCTTTATTCGGTTGCGAAAATATTCGAGATTTTGCTGGGGTAACATTTTTGGTTTTGCTAGATCTTTGAAATGGATAAGTGGATTCTTATAATATTTAGTACACGGCTTCTTAGGAATTAGGTAGTTACAACCTTCAAAATAACGTTTAAAGTAAGTCTTTAGAGCTCTTATTGAGAGTACTGGGACCAATTGAAGTATTTTTCTATTTTAGGAAACAACCTTTAAGCTATGAATTATTTTGGTTTTTTATTGCAGAACAAATTTAAACTAATTCCTAAGAAGCCGTGTACAAACTATTATAAGAATCCACTTATCCATTTCAAAGATCTAGCAAAACCAAAAATGTTACCCCAGCAAAATCTCGAATATTTTCGCAACCGAATAAAGAACAAATACAAATTAAGGCACATTTACTTCATCTAGACAACTTATTTTATAGCTAGTAATTATTTAAATATTCCCATTAGAAAGAAAAAGGTCTGGCTGGGGTAACGTTTCCCCAGCAGGAAATGTCAAATGACCATTTTCGACAACATCTGGTATGGGTAACGCACATCGCTGATCCTTATAAAATAACAAACAATTATACGTAATAATCACATTTATTTGCCATTGGGGGGACGCAGAAACGATGGAACACCAAATGATAAGATTTTAAAATAAGTGTGGGATAGCCATGCTCCGGCACGAATGGTCGGCTCGACCGGAGTGATACCACGGCCGAGCAGAAAACCGACGTAAAACAATACTTTTGTTGTGTTTACTTGTGTGAGTGAGGTTACCGGAGGCCCAATTACCTCCCCCCCCCCTCCCCAGTCTCCTCAATTCCCAAATACCCACAACCCTCAAATTTTCAAAAGGCCAGTAACGCACTTGTCACGCCTCTGGTGTTCCAGGTATCCATGGACGACACCAATTGCTTACTATCAGGTGATCCGTCTGCTAGTTTACCGGCTTATGTCATAAAAAAATACAATAATATTTCAGTTACGAACCTGAACATTAGCATTATCAGGATGCACTTTCATACATTCCACTATGGCTTCTGGCGCGTCGCTGTCTATAAACTGTTGTCCATGTGTCGGCTCGCGGAGACACAGCGCCGCTATACATTTTAGTGTTAACGCTGTTGCGTTCGCATTACTCTGGACAAATAATTTATAATGGTTTTATTTCTACGTGATTGCAATACAACAATATACAATACAATATAAATTGTAAATAATTATAATTCTTTTATAAACCACGTTTATAAAAAGCGACTTCAACCTCCTCTTTTTTGAGGTCGGATTATATGATAAAACCTTCTCTTGAGTGTCTTTCTGAAAACCACATCAAAATCTGTTCAGCCAATCGCGATATCATCGTGCACATTCATACATACAGGTTAAACTCAGAACCTCCTTTTTTCTTTTTGAAGTCGGTTAAAACGGGTTGTGGATGATGAACGAGGATGCTTATGCACTCTATAAATATTGAACAACAAACTCACTGAATGCCTGGACAGTATGGAGACTACAACTGGAACAATACCGCTTTTCACCAGATCTCTTTTGACATCATCGTGTCCTGCTAAAGCTGTTATTCTGAAACAAAATATAGTGATTATGTGTCGTCATTCTTGCTGATATCTCTCAAAGGAACATTCATAGGCATTCAAAAAGAATCTCTGAAGTTGTATTACAGCAGTTGGTAAAATCTATTAAAACTTTGCAGTCTTAGAACCTAAGTTACCATGGTCTAAATTTAAATTTAACTTACTATTATAACTACAAACCTGTTTTGACAATAAACAACTAAATTGCACGGAATACTATAAAAATGGGTCAAGTCCTTAGTAACTGTTCGTTACCATAGCAACGGCAGAGTTTACTCAATAATCACTTCTAAAGCGGTACACTCGCACGTGAACTACAAAAGCTAGAGGGAAGTCTATAAAATAAAATCAAATTATCAAGCACTTCCATTTATCAAACACTTCAACAAAAATGTTGTGCCTTATTTTGTATTTGTTCTTTCATCGGTTGCTTAGTTATCCGAGAATTTGTTGGGGTAACGTTTTTGGTTTTGCTAGATCTTTGAAATGGTTAAGCGGATTCTTATCATATTTTGTACATGGCTTCTTAGGAATTAGTTTAAATTTGTTCTGCAATAAAAAAAAAACAAAATAATACATAGCTTAAAGGTTATTTCATTAAATAGAAAAATACTTGAACTGGTCCTACTTTACTGGTACTTTAATAGTTCAATTGAAATGATTATATTACCTGTCAATAAAAGTTATTTAATAATCACGTAGTTTTGTTTTACTAGGGCATGTAGATGCCTGCACTAAATTTGTAACACTATCCTACGTATTTTAGAAGGTACCATAATGTTCTGCGTTTTCGCTTTTCGTAACCACCTAAACTTGGTTGGGTTACCACGGTCATTCACTTCCTAATGACTTTAATCGCATTATCATATATATTATCTCATTAACTATCCAATGTACAGAGCTGAAATTTTACTGATATACAACTGAACTAAAAAACTAATAATTGACATTACATTCAGTTCATATATCCAATCCAGTGGCCAAATAACACCGCGCGCATCAAGACCGTGCTCGTGAAGAACTCAATAACATCATAACTTGTTAAATACTTACAGGATACTAATCAAACTTCACATACATTTGAAGGCAGTTACAAGCAGCAGTTAATGAAACAACCTTTAAGCTGTGTATTATTTTGGCTTATTTATTGCAGAACAAATTTAAACTAATTCCCAAGAAGCCATGTACAAAATATGATAAGAATCCGCTTAACCATTTCAAAGATCTAGCAAAACCAAAAACGTTACCCCAGCAAAATCTCGAATAACTTCGCAACCGATGAAAGAACATGCAAAATAAGACACAATATTTACTTCATCTAGACAACTAATTTTATAGCTAGTAATTATTTAAATTTTCCCATTAGAAAGAAAAACGTCTGGCTGGGGTAACGTTACCCCAGCAGGAAATGTTTTTGTGAAATAATTAAAAAACTATAAGCGCACGAAATTTAAAAGTATGCGCTACAATTACAGAAGCCGCAAAACTAATTATCTATAAGATTCAAATGACCATTTTCGACAACATCTGGCCTAGGTAACGGACACTAGAGGTATAAAAATGGGTCAACTCCTTAGTAACTGTTCGTTACCATAGCAACGGCAGAGTTTACTCAATAATCACTTCTAAAGCGGTACACTCGCACGTGAACTACAAAAGTTAGAGAGATAAATAAAGATATTAATAAAATCTTAAAGAAATAATAATAATATCTAAATTTCCCCAAGACTCGGAAATATTGAAAAAAATATCAAGCAAATTTACTTCCATTCATCAAACGCTTTAAGAAAAATCGAAGAAAAACAAAACAAAAATGACAACTGCCGAGAAAGGCGACTACCTCTCTTTCGGAGATAGAAACAACGGACTATCTACGATAAAAACTTGGCACGAACACAACCAACTAGTCTTAAAAGGCGACATAATACGAACCACTGACAAAAACACTGCGATCACCAAAAACAGCATTATAAAAGTCAATCACACATCTTGCGAAGACTTTAGCGACAGTACTGATCAGCTAAAACATAGGGCAAGACATATAAACTACTGGAAAGCTGAACTAGAAAGGGCTATAAGAGATATGGACGCAGAAATCAATATACTAGAAGCTCAAAGACAACAGCTAAAAAACGCAATGGATACTTTGAAAATACCAGAATACATAAATGAAGAATGCTTAGATTTAAGAAGAATGCGAATGCAATCGGATTTGATTTACGATGAACCGCAAGAAGATTTGTTCACTGAGTCAGCTTTGATAGAAAACGTTAAGAAATTGCATAGAGACTTGCTAAGGGACGTTGAGTACCAGCTGGATATGAATGTGGCGTCCAAAACTTGGTTGGAAAGAGATTGGAGTGACAAGCAATTGGCTTTTAAATATGAAAGTGAAAATGCTTACTTGGAGACAAAAGCTGTTAATGTCAAAGATTCTGCGGGCGCTACTCGACTTTCTGAAGGTAAGTTTACCTAAGTATTACTTTTAGAGAGTGTATTGAAATGCTCATTTTTTTCACTTTAATTGGAATTTGGAAATAGGTGCCATCTTAGACTAATAATAATAATAATATTCTGTAGCCTATTTACAAATAAATTCATTTCGTGTTTAATTCTATCGTTCCGATTTTGTAGAAACCTTTTGAAGTTTGATATAAGACCTAAATATTCTTCAATTTAAAACTATATTAACAATATCATTTTACAGGTCAATCAAACGTACCATCGTGGGAACAATATACGATAAACGCTTTAAACGAATTCAAAATATCCATCGACAAATCAAAAGCTTTGCGAGCAAAAGTGGACGCAATCCTAATAAACACATCGAGGGATCTTCGTTCGCAAGACATCAAAGTGAACAAGTCGTTAAGCGAAAGGATCGCTCGAACGGAACAAGTGAAGACCGAACTAGAAAACCAGTTAAAGTTGACCCTCGAAAAGATAGTTGAGACGGAGAACATTCTAGAGATGTTACACGAAGAAATGTTGAAGGTATCGCAGAGAATACAAGTGGCGCAAACAAGATTGAACACTAAAAACTGTAGGCCTAACGTCGAGAATTGCAGGGAAGGGTCATTGGTAGCCTTGATAGAAGAAGTAAGAGATTTGAATGACAGTATGAGTCTATTACAAAAGCGTTCGTTGGAGACTGAGAAATTGAGGGCGGAGTTAATACACGAACGGTCTATTCTGGAAAATGAGATCATTGTTAAGAAGAAGACGTTGCATCTTGATAATGAGAGATGTTTGTTTTTGAGATCACATTACCAATCTGCTGAGAAAATGTGTGGTTTCTAATTGTTTGGCACTTGTAGAAGGTTTTGTAGATTTCAGAATTAAGGCATTGGGAAAATATCATCGTATTTATCATATTTAGCACCTTTACATTTGAAAATGACTTATCTATTACATATGTTATGTAGGGAATTTGTTTAACCCTTTGGGTACCGTCATTATAGACACAATTAAAGAACAATAGGTTGCGGTCACCGGCATCCTCGCGGTGTTTGACAGTTTAAAAAAACAAGAGTAGGTAATGTAAGTTAAACTGTGAGCTAAAATCTTCATAGATGATGAATGTAAGAAATATAAAATGCACGTGTGTTTAAAACAAATGGATTTTTAATTTAATGCATTGAAAACAAAATACTCTCTAAAACTAAAAATTTGGATTTAGTAAGTCATACAACTAATTGCCTATTTAAGTTATTTATTTAACTTTATGCAACAAGATTACATAGGCGGGCTTAATGCCATTTGGCATTCTTACTAGCCAAACTTTAGGTGATGCAGTGAGAGCGTGGTCGCTGGGCAGGTCACTTGTTACATTTTATAAAATGTATTTACTATTTATACACCGCGATATAAGGACCCAATTTCCTAAACAGTATGCTGTCAGTCTTTTGGGCACCCTACCTCACGATAGCGATGAGGAAAATTTTTTTTAATGCCTTAAGATAGCATTTTTATTATTATTGCTTTTTTAAGGTGTATCTATTTTAGTTTGTAGTTATTTATATTTTAAGTTGTACATATTTATTGAATTTAATATTAATCTTGAATTTAATCTTTATCTTTAACTTAACGTTTGTAAATTTACAATTTCTTAAACTAAGCTTGAAAAACCATTATACTCACAATTTATCAGCTTGTTGCACTACGGTAACATTATCATAGTTATCCGCGAGCACTGTGAACAGAACATCGACTCCGCAGTCCGCCACCATCTTGCAGAGCTCGTGGCGCACCAGGAGACTCGCTATAGTCAACATTAGCTCCGATACTAGTGGAGGTTTTGTGTTCTCTGTAATTTTATATCAATTTAAAAGGACATCCACTAAAAGATCTACAGGTAAAGTGTTGTTAAGACATAGATAAAGGGCTTTCATTAACAAAAAGTTATCAAATTTTAGTATTATAATTCTAGACGTATTAATTTCTTAATCTATATCTGGAATGCCTCAGGGTTCAGTATTGGGGCCTTCTTTGTTAGACGTATTACTATGTAGGTACTCAGCAGTAAACAAATAAATAAATGTATTTAATTTTACCAAATATTCAGATTTAAAGCTTACAAGACGATCGACTATTACAAAAGGATGTAAACAGATTTATTCAACCCATACTGAGATAAAAAATTAATACTTAGAATCTCAAAATGCTGCTGAAGTTTAATAAGCAACAAAAATATTATTTGATATCTATTTAGGGTGTTAATTTTCACGTGTGTCTGTGTGTGAGTGTGTGTGTGTGTTTGTGGGCGCATAAGTACTGACCTTTCAACAAATTAGTGAGTGGCTCCAACATTTGCGCTCCCAACTCCTTGGCGTGGTCGTGTGCCTTACCGAACTCGACGCGAACATCATCGTCTAGTGTCAGTTTCCTGATCACTTGTAGTGTGTCACTTAGTAACTGTAAACAGTAATTAATTGCATATTCGCATCGTAGGTACTAGTGCAGTCGCTACGTGACAAGCTGCTGTATAACATGTTATGAGTTGAGCCTCTCACAAAATTCATGTTTTCCACAAATTGTAGTGTTTATGAAAAAAGATGATGTGAGGCAAATAAGGGCGACTGTTGTTGTCTGGAGTTTGATTTCACCTACTGTCCCTTTCTTAACTAAGTTTTACTTAGCGTGGGGTTGAAAATGAAAATGTTCGATGGGTATAAATATCCAAATATAAGAGAGGTTAAACATGGCCATAATACTTGAATTTTTTTAATATTGTCAGTCAAAAATAAAACAAATTAATTAGTGCTTATATTAAAATTTCGCGAGACATACTAAATTAATTATATTTTCGGCTTACTCACGTAACTGTTTGAATTAACTGAGTTATCCGAGAACATAATAAATCATTTAATTAGTGTTTTTATGTTACGTAGTAGACATTAATATTACCTTATAATTTCCAGTGACTTTAAGCAACAATTTGAGATTCTCAGCGATGTTCTTAGCAAACAGTTTTTGTCTGTTCATTTCATGTTTGACACAGCATGTTGTCGTCCATTTCAATGTAGCTACCAAAATATCTTCGTTTTCAACATTATCTAGAATACTGTAATAGAAGGAAGTATATTTTTTGAAAGTGAAATATTTGCATATTAAGCTGGTATAGGTGGTTTGAAGAAGTAATTGTTGTAACTATTTTTAAGTTTGTTTGGCGCGGTGGCTGGGTAACTGGCTGGTTCAACTCCTTGATTGATCCACAAATTGTTGTTCCGGGTCTAGGTGTCGTGTGCATGTGAAATTGTATGTTTATAAACGCATCCACGACACAGGAGAAATCCTAGTTTTCTTTTTAAAAGGCTCATCCATTTTTTTCTGTGTAAGAATCACATTGCAAATGTTGAAATTAACATTATTTACGGAACCAAATTGAGAGATAGCACACTCACTTTTTAATCAAGTCCACGCCCTTACTATCTAGCAAATCAGGCTGCATTTCCATCAATGCGGTTATCGTTTCCAGAACATTGATAATGAACTTTGCATCATGGTCACTCAGTTCTTGGCAGAGCTTACTGTACTTGGAGTAAAGGAGGTCCAATAACACCTTGTATGCACCCTCTTTGCCTGCACGGACTCTACGGGCAATATCCTTTTCACATTCTGCCTGGAAAATAAGGAACATTTGATTAAGATTATTATTTCCTTTATTTATTTCTATTTATAAAAAAAAAACATTTAAAAATATAGAAAGCAGTAGCCCACCAGTAACGGAGAAATTAAAGCCGGTGGTCAGGGCTCCAGAGAAAGGAATTTCCGGACAATACAATACAATATGATTAAGAAAATTATTATGTGTATTATTATTTGATAATAGGGAATATCATCAGTATTGGTAGTTTTGGTATGAACAATGTACATAATTATGTACTTTTGTTGATGCAAAAGTAGTGTCTAAGCATCGGAAATATGGTCGGAAATATGAGAGTGGTCACCGATCGCTTGGGCATTGAGCAGTTAATGCGGTTTATGATCACCAGAATAATAAGTGGCTAACATTACTTAGTACAAATAATATATTATTTCAAAAATACCTTTAAAACGCTTAATTCCTTCAAAACAGCATCATGATCATATTTATCACCGCTGCACAGTTCCTTCAACCTCGCAACATTCTCTGTTACCACGTGATTGTCTCCGGAACCAAGAGCCAGGTCTTTTATTATGTTTGATAGGTCTACTCCCTGGACAGAAAGAACAAATGTGTCATTAGATTAATTTAGTTCTAAAATTATTACTTATGATGACAAGGCATTCAGTATATTATTTTGAAAGTATAAATAGAAAATATAAAAGTAAATTTATGTAGGCTGTGTGCTGCGTCGGGATAAATTTAATCTATACAGATAAATAAAATTGGTGTGTCTATTTGTTATATTAAAATAACTGACTTTTTACTACATGCAAATGAATATACATACTATACACATACCAAAATAACAATTTTTGTCTGTCTATCTGTCTGTTTATACTTTTTAATGTTCTGGAATGGCTGGACCAATTTTGCAAGACTTTTAATGCAGGTAGCTAATTCACTTAGGAGTAACATAGGCTACTTTTATTTTGTAAAATTCAAACAAAAAGAAATCAAGTTCTAGAATTCATATTCTATGAGAACGAAGTTGCGGGTAACAGCTGGTAATTAATAAAATTAGAGAATCATTTCATAAACATTCACATAAACATAGGTACAAATATGTTTTACAACTTACTTCCATTTTTACAGTAATATTACAAATAAGCTAAAAACACAAAATGAACCAGAGCAACTTTAAATAACGACTATTATAGTCGACTGATTACACTAAAGAAAAAAGAACGAACAGAAAAAAAAGCATTAGAAAAACCCAGTACAGTACCTAACCACAGAGGTTCTAAAACATCTCAGGTAGGTAATGAAATCATCACTTAACTAAGATTCTGTTTGAAAGGACATTGATTAGATCACTAAGAATGATCCTGCATGTTAATTATAGATATGACTAATTTGATTCAAATTACTATTTTTTATCCAGACAATTACATGTTTTAAACATTATTGTGGGCTTTACACTTCCGCTATAGAATTTCTATGTGATTCCAATAGGTTTTTTATACATACCTGTGCCTCAAATTGAGCAACTGCCTCTTTGATAGCTTCTTCGGGGGTCATTTCAAACTCGTCGATGTTTTCCTTCACGACTTCATCGTACGTCTCTTGAGTTATTACACGAACCATCTTTATATTTTGTTTGAGGATTTTAATTCAAATCTTGTGTTATTTTGCGAGTAGTTTCTTGTAAATATTTGTTTTTGTTCGCATGCGGCGAATTTGGCTACAATAAAATGACAACAGCTGCACTGCAAGCTAGGGGTTGACAATGTTCAATGTTGACATTGACATAAATGTCAGCTGTCAAATAGTTACAAACTGTCAATGTCATGCTATTTTCAAACAGTTTGTTACGTTCAGAAACTAACTTTATTTCAACAACATGTTCGTTTTTAAGTACTATAATCCTTAAATAAAGTTAATCATACACTGGCACGAAAAAGCGTATTATGTATGGCGCCAAAAATATATAATAAAATTCCTAATGATATTAGAAATTGTAATGTAAGATTATTTAAAAATAAATTGAAAATAATTCTGGCCAAGAAATGTTATTATAGTATTCATGAATTTTTAAATGAAAATAATTTTAATATGTAATTGTATCTCATATTATTCTTTAAATTAAATTAAATGTATACCTAATTGACTTGACGTACACTTTGATTAACTGACATTTTCATGAAATTTTTATTTATCTAATACTAATTTGATTATATTGTAAAATGACTCATTCGTATTAATGTATTTCATTTAATAATACTTTTGCGCGCTGTGTTCCACGGCAAAACATGCTGTACATAAACATTTTATTCAACATCTTGTTACCTACCATGTTTTGTGCAAATAAATGATTTGATTTGATTTGATTTGATTTATTTTATTTTATTACAAGACTATATCAGAGAAGCTCGATGTTAAATAGAAACTCAGAAGTTAGTAATTAAAACGGAATTTGTATCCAATTATTCGATTCACCCTATTATTTACTGTTGGAAAAAGAAAAACATACAACAACTAATATCACGCCTTATATCCCCGAAGGGGTAGGCAGAGGTGTACATTATGGCAATAATTTATCCTTATATTCAAACTTATGTGAGACATTGTACAGTGGCATAATGTGCATCTAGTGCATCTAGACAAGTTAAGGATGAAAAAAGTTGTTGTAGTGACATAACTACAATAGTTGGACATATACTACCGCGGAGTTTTTTGTAGACATTGATGTTCTTCAATATTGTTGTATATTATTTTGTTCTATCGCTAATAGTTTCGGCAGCGCATTCGACGAAAGACATTTTTCTACACCTTCGGTTACATTGTTCAAATTTTACCAAGGATCCCTATTTTTTTTCGAAATGAAATGTAGCCTATGTCAAATTGAAAGAATGTAGCATTCTATTGGTCCAAGAGTTAAATCGGCCCAGTACTTTTTGAGCCTATTCATTACAAACATACAAAAATAGGTACAAATCTTTCCTCTTTATAATATTAGTGTAGAAAGAATTTTTATATCGGCCCAGTACTTTTTGAGCCTATTCATTACAAACATTCAAACATACAAAAATAGGTACAAATCTTTCCTCTTTATAATATGTATTAGTGTAGATTTTATACTTATAAGTTCACAACGTTTGTACTTCCATACTTCCATTGATTATTTGATTTGTGTGTGATTAACCTGAGTGTATGTGGTATAGTCTATTTGTCTATATCACTGATATGTTATGACTACTATAAGTAAATGTTTGTTTAGGTTTAGGCAACATAAGTTACGAAACAAACGTTTTTACCAAGCCATCTGTTTGAGTTTAGGGAAAAACAGGCGTGATCTGACAACATTTCGGTTGCCTAAATAAAAAAAAACAATATTTTGACAGAAAACAGCTTGTCTCGTGGTGCGTTTAAAAACTTAATTTGGAAATATTTTATCGGTTAAGGTTGGTACAAAAAATAAGTAAAACCTTTTGTCTGTTTATAGAAATTATGATTTTGAATAAATGAAATAGAAGCAAATAGTTTTATTTTGTTTATTTAACAACTTTAGATAATTCGTTTTTCGTTATTGATACACCTATTTGTTATTGCTAAATGTTATACTTCGAATGTTACCTGGGTGACGCATACTCCCGTAAAAGAATCGGAATCGAAATACCAATTTCATCTTTTTACGCGTAATTAGTGAATAATCTTTTGCAATATATTGTTTATTTAGCATTTAATAGGATTATTGGTGGTCCAAGATGAGTTTTCTGGGGAAGTTGTTCGGTGGAAAGAAGGAAGAAAAGGGCCCGACGACACATGAAGCTATTCAGAAATTACGCGAGACGGAGGAGCTATTGCTGAAAAAACAGGAGTTTCTAGAGAAGAAAATCGATATAGAAATACAGACAGCTAGGAAAAATGGCACAAAGAATAAGCGAGGTGAGTAGTCGTATTAGTTTCTTACTCGATGTTCTTATGATCTTGTAAAATTAATTCGCAATTTGGTTCTTTGTTGACATGTATGTGTGACCTTGTTATTCAATTAATTGTTAGATATTTCGTTGGTACATCCTTATAACGGCCTTTGGCTAAATGTCTTGTGCCGTTGCCTATATTTATTTCCTTATTTGTTAATTTTTTTCTTGTAGTTAGGTACTCTAATTTTCACAATCGTTCTTATTATTGCTACAAAAAGATTGTAGGTTTTAGAAACTATGACAAATGTAAATATTTAACACATACAAAGACATGACTCACTAACCACATTATCTATTTCATCTTATAAAAGAAAGAAATAACAAATCAAAGAATAGCTTTCACTTACATCTATTACTATTACAGTCAATAGATTTAACATCAAGTGTTACAATCTATGATAAGTTGATCAAGGCATACTAATAGTCCAATAAGACTCTGAGTTCGATAAAACTGTTCCCATAGTATAGTTGAAGAAGCAAAAGACAAAATTAATTGTTATAGAATTTAAGTAACAGATTTAACTAACAATATCCACATTAAGTACTGTTCTCTTAGGTCATACCTATGAGAATATAACACTCAGTTCTTCACTCTAAAAAGTCTCATGTTAATCTGTCAAACACCAAGCGGTCACCGGTGACGGCGACCTATTGTTCTTTAATTGTGTCTATAAAACCAGTACTCGACGAGTTAAAGGAGGTGAGACTATTGCCATTATAGGGCCAAAATGAGCAACCTACATTAATTTAAAACCTAATAATCTTATTTAGGTCATTAGACAACAATTTTAGGTCTGTTTATGTACAGTATAAATATGTTTTATGAGTCATGTAAAGGAAGTCAAGTTGTTGTAAACATATGAATAACTTTATTATGTAGTTTCCAATTTGCATTGCTGGCAGCTTATAATAAAGTTAGAGTCTCTAAGAAATAAATATTACATAATTTACTGGAATGGGGCAGTAGTACTATCAAAATAAACATAAATAAATGTCATACTTTTGTGTGACTCGTCAAAAATTCAAAGTCAAGATTATTTATAACGGTAAAAAAATGAAGCTATTTGCTCATTCCAAGGTGTAGGTGTGTCCTATGGAGAAGAACGAGTAAGAAACTCCATGAGTTACTCTTTTGCAATCAGGTTCACAATAGAAATTTTAGTTACAGTTTTGTTTGTTCAATTGTGTGAGAACTATATGTGTAACACTAAAATCCAGTCAGAGATTGAAAAAGAAAATAACCCTAAAGGCAATAAAAATAAAGTTTGAAGAAGATCACAGAATACTACCATCATTCTTACATACTTTCTTAAGCTTTATTTGTGAGTGATGAATCATGCATTGTCATTCCACAGACTGGTTTTTAATGATAAAAGCAATATTTATCTTGAAATTGATGATCATTAATCACCAGTTAACTGATTTGTCATAGATTTTTTGCATTTTTAGGGCCATATCTGTACAATAAAATTAATAAAGAAACCTTAGTCTACGATGTAAATTACACCAGAGCAAAACAGTGCATTTCTCAGTATCTGCTATCATTAAGTTATGAAAGAAGCGAGGATTTGTTGATTGTCATTAAATAAATAATGTATAGGTATAAATAGATAATAATTATTTTAATAAATGCAAGTAAAAAGTTAGTGTTTCCTAACTTATGTATACATACATAGGTTTTGTAATATTGGTGACTGTAAAAATAATATTGTTAAGGCTTAGTTATTATCCTAATGTATAATGCACGCGACCACAAAGCCTGTGGTACAGATTTAATTCTATACAGGCATTGTATTGTAACCTACCTAGAATAGTTAAATAATAAACTTAGATTATGTATATGTGAACAAAATGGAAATAAATACATTTGTTTTTGTTGTTGTTGATTTAGCAACTTTTACTATCAGAGATGAGGCTGGTACCATATCTAGAATTTCTTATAATGTTGATCTGTAAAAGTGCTATTTTGTAGCCCAAAATGAAAATTTCAGCAGATATGTTATTATAAGTTTTCACCATCAGACAACAGTAACTGTGCCTATTATTAACTTAACTAAACACTGAAGAAAGTCTTAGAATTTTTGTAAATTGTAGTAGCATAAGTGTGAGTTATTATATTACAGAGTCACAGACCTGTGCTAAACTGGGTTGCCAACTAGTCAAATTCAATAGTTTTTTCGAATGGTCAAAAACTATAATTTTCTATGTATTTTGTATGTGATTGTGTATTGAGATCACATTTCATAAAATCATAAAATCAATTAATGAAAGTGTGATTATTTTTTAATGTTTTATTGTATTGAACAGTCGAAATAATTTATTTTTGACTAAGGAAAGTATCCAATTCCATTCCCATATTCTTTTCTCTGTCGTTTCGCTCTTGGCAGAGCGGTCGTGGTCACGTTGAGGCGGCCTTATTTGTGTTGGAGGCCGATACAGCTTTCCTCACGATCTCCCGCCATCTCTCTCTGTTTGTGGATTGTCTGGCGCAGTCTGACACTGGGTTTCCCGTTGCCGATTTGACTTGATCAGTCCAGCGCATAGGTGATCGGCCTCGTGATCTGGTTCCCTCTACCTTCCCCTGAACGACCAGCTGCTCTATGGAGTTGTTATCACGACGGGAGACATGGCCAAAGTACTGCAGTATGCGCGTCTGTACTATGGTTGATAGACGCTTTGTGATGCCGAGTTCTCGGAGTATGGATACGTTGGTGCGGAACTCAGTCCACGATACACTAAGCATCTTCCTCCTTTTTCATCCTCCATTCCCATATAATTGGGCTTTTTAACATGTGTAAAACAATTTTAGAAATTAATTGTATATCATTCTCATTACAGCGGCGATCGCAGCTCTTAAGCGTAAGAAGCGTTACGAGAAGCAGTTGACACAGATCGATGGAACTCTCACTCAAATTGAGGCGCAGCGGGAGGCGCTGGAGGGCGCCAACACCAACGCCCAAGTACTGAACACCATGCGCGATGCTGCTAACGCCATGAAATTGGCTCATAAGGATATGTTAGTATTTATTATATATTACTAGCTTTTACCCGCGGCTTCGCTCGCGTCACAAAAGAATAAAAAGTAGCCTATGTGACAAATACCAATGCACACAGCGCCATCTATACCAATACTTTTGTTTTTCCTCGGGAATATCAATTTTTCCGGGTTAAAAAGTACCCTATTATTTAATCCGGACTTCTAACTTTACGTCTGCAAAAATTCAAAGCAATCGGTTGAGTAGTTACGGCGTGAAGGTGAAACAAACAAACAAACTCACTTTCAGATTTATAATATTAAGTAAGGATGAGGATAATATTTTACTTACTTACATCATACAGTCTATAACAAGTTATATAGAAGTAAAATAATCTGATTCATATTAAATTTCATCAATATGGTATCAGTTTCCTTAGGCACTGATCAAGGACCATGCTATTTTTTTTTTACTTTAGTTACGTAACATAACATTACGGGATTTTATCTCTGAAGGGGTACGCAAAGGTGCACATTACAGCATTTAATGCCACTGTACAATGTAACACCCACTTTTCATGTATGTTATGAGTCCCATGTAATAGGGGGTGAGCCTATTGCCATATACCGGGCACAATTCCAGACTCCGTGCTACTATTGAGAATTAAAAAAAAACTTAGTAGTTCTTTGCCCAACCCGGGTATCGAAACCAAGACCCCTTGCACTTGTGACCACGCGGCCAACGAGGCAGTTAAGTTCACCTGAGTTACTCTTTGTAAAATACTAATTAGCTGAATCTAAATTAACTAAAAATACTGACTATACTGAGAAAAGCTCTACTAGTTTCAAGCCACAGAGGGGTCCTTCCTCATGTAGTTTAGAGCAGTACAGATATTTGAATAAATTTTTTTTTACTTAACTAGCTTCCGTCCGCGACTTCGTACGCGCCATCTCGTTTTTTCCCATGTCCGTTCGTGATTTTCGGTAAAAAGTAAAAAAAAAACTGTTTGATAAAAAGTATCCTATGTCCGTTTCCTGGTTCTAAGCTACCTCGCTACCAATTTTCATCGAAATCGGTTAAGCCGTTCTTGATTTATAAATAGTGTGACTAATACGACTTTATTTTATAAATATAGATAGATTTATTCTCCTCTTCTCCACAGCGATGTAGACAAGGTGCACGACATAATGGACGATATCGCGGAACAGCACGACATCTCGCGGGAGATCACCGACGCTATCAGCAACAACGTGGCATTCCCCAACGATATCGATGAGGACGAGCTCGAGAAGGAACTCGAGGAGTTGGAACAGGTATGGAGAGCTGATACATTTATAAAACTTCTTTCGAAAAAAGGAAACTGGTGGCGAAGGACTACTGACCAAGTCGATACAAAGAGAGAAATATTTGGCCAAAATGCGCCGCGTCTAAGAATAGTTTTTGTACTGAGCCCTTGACCCTACTAGTATTAACCTCCTTTTCATACATACATACATACATGACGTCACGCCTGTCTCTTATGGGGGTAGGCAGTTTATGGAAAGCCATTAGGGTAGTTTCCTAAATTTGATTTTAATGTCCGTCTGGTACATTAATTCAAAAATTTAGACGTAACGTATTTTTTCTTTTCTCACAAAATTAAATACTTTCGACGATATATTAATTTGAAATATCGTGTGAAGTCACAGCGTGCTACATTTTGTAGCACGTTATGACGTAACGACCTCCCACTCCTAAACTTAGCTCCATTTTATCTAAGTATTGCAACTTAATACGAGAAAATAAAAAAAAATACTTGTCTAATATTTAATTATCTAACTGACGGATTAATTAGATTTTTAATTTTGATAGCCTGGAAACTACCCAATGGCTACGATTCTAACATACCTCAGTCATCTTCATGCATTCTCGTCGGTTAACAGTACTTTTAATTTCGCCGTTCTTTAATAAATCTATATTATGTCCATCTAGGGCGACCGACGGCCCCATTCATGTCCGCTCTGCATACGTCTTTCGTTACTCTACTTTCATCTATCTTTTTTACTTTCATCATTAACTTTATTAAAACAAAAGTGAAAACTAAATACTTTAAAGCAGGTTTATCTTATTTCGAGCGAGGCTAGTACCGTGGCCCCGGCATAGAGAAGGAGTAGAAATGGGTTTGATTGTAATCAGTATTTAAGAATGTTGACTCTTAAGGGCGGGAGAAGTAATTTGATTGATTTTCTAACCTCACAATAACGCAGTTTTATTAAAAAAATACATTAAATAATTAACTTTAGTACCACGCACATAGTAATTCATCTAAATATCTTGTTCAATTTACAGGAGGATCTGGACAAAGAGATGCTGGGCATCAACGTGCCCACGGACAAGTTGCCGGACGTGCCCACAGCGGATCTGGTCCACGACAAGCCCAAGCCCAGCAGGTCCAAGCAGACCGGTGAGCTTATTTTTTGTTTAATCATTTATTATACGTAAAGCCGGTTTTAGAGTCGCGCTGACCGTACGCGGCGTACGCTGATCGTATGCGCTGACAGCTGAAACGTATTAACTTCTATACAGCGTTTTAAAATAGCGGATGCGTCGGTCAGCGCTGATGGATACAACTATGGCTGTCAAACTATAAGCGCTGGCGGTCAGCGTGAGACTAAAATCAGCCTAAATAAAGTCGCTTTCTTTTTTAACATATTTCTTTAGTTTACCTACATCACATTCACGCCATTGGTCTTGCGAGCATTTAAATGGCGGGTTAAGATACTCCGCATTTACACCCGCATACTGAAAGCTACTCTACTCAATTTTATCAAATTAGCGGGTCAATGAGATTCCACTTCTGAGTAATAATTTCCTATACGTAAGAAGGATATCCAAAGATTCAGGTTTATCAGAGAGTGCTATTATACGATCTTCATACGATCTTAATATATCGTTTTTTTATTTGTTTGAGCCATTAGTCTAGTCTAGAGGTCTATAATTGCTCTAAAATAGCATGCTAAAAGGTCTGTTAACCCGTCGAGCGTTCGCGTTCCTTATGATCCAACGGGTGCACACGTGACATTTGGAGAAAGAAAGAAAGAATTTTAATGATCCCATTACAATAGAAATAAAAAAATACAGTCAAAATAAAAACAAAACATTAATAATAGATTTTATAAAAGAGAAAGCAGCATGGAGCATTTTTTCCTATGATCCACCGGGTGCTCATAAGGACGCTCGAGGGGTTAAGCATGCTCGAAAGCTCAAAAATCGAACACTTATCGATTCGCAATCGACTGTGGGCGTCGGGGATCACGGGACGATCTCATTTTAATTAATATCTATAAAACAAAACTTTATTTTTATAATTTTCAGAGGACGACGAAGAACTTGCACAGTTGCAGTCTTGGGCCACATAATGTATCGACCTCAAGTTGTAACTTTGTGATATATTATCTAGGTATTGTATAGCCACCCGCTTTGTTACGCAATCTTGTGGGGATAGCACGTCTATGTATACTGGTTTTGTACTGAAAATGTATACTTTGATATGCTGTTTTGAAGAAATGTATAGTACATAATGCTTGTAATTAAGAACTTGGGGAATTCTTGCTAAAGATATTGCTGGTCATGTTTTGACGTGACAACGTCTTATAAATTGGTTTGCCGGGTGACACTTCAAGAAAATGCGTTACGCTCCGCTCACAATGAGAGCGAGTGAGAGGCACGCGTCCCTTTCACTCGGGCATGGTTAGCCCGCCTAAGAGCGAGAGAGACAGACATAAAAAGTGAATTATTTCATCCTTCTTCCTACTATACGAATGAATATTCACATTAAAATTATTTTACCACTCAAAGTCGTTGTCACGTAAAACTTTCGCCCGTATACCGACTTTACAGGCAACCAATTTTTTTGTATGGAATGGTAGGCTTTGAAGGAAAATAGGGAAATTTAGAAGGCAAATTATAGGTTTTTTAGACCTAAATAGTATGTTTTTAAATACTGTACCTAGTTTAAACTGTCAAACACCAAGCGGTCACCGGTGACCGCGACCTATTGTTCTTTAATTGTGTCTATAAAACCGGTACTCGACGAGTTAAAGTATTGGTTGATTTAAAGTAAATGACTTTTAAGGGGAAATACATGTCAAGCTACAGCTTTTTTGTACTATAGAAGTATAGTTACCATGCGGTTGGCTCAACACTAATCTTCGGGAAAGGATTTTTTAATATGATAACATTAGGTATTTTGTATGACCAGAAAATGAAACTCAAGGCGTTAGCTATCCCCACAAGTGTTGCCAAACAAAAAAATATTGTATAAATATGTATTTATAGCATGTCAACTAGTTCTCGCTTTATTATTATTATTACATTACAATAGAAAAATAAATTAAATAAATAAAAAAAATAATGTAGTACACTCTGCCTTATATACAATTTTTTCATATTTAGTCAAAATATTGATGGTAAAGATGGTATGGGGCAGTTGTATTATTTTTTTAGTTTTTTTTTTGTTATTTTTTTAAATTGAATTATTGATATTTAAACTCGTTTCTCGTTAATTTCTAAGGAAAAATAATTGTTTTGTAGTTTATTCTTGTATTTGTTTGTGGTATTTATTTGTTTGTGCGCATTTTAGAATTTTTAAACTGTATTCTTTTGTTCCGTAATGCACACACAAACACACATAACATCACGCCTTTTATCCCCGACGGGGTAGGCAGAGGTGCACATTAAGCTTTTCACTTTTCACAATTTATATTACTTTGCCCGAACCGGGAATCGAACCCGAGACCCCTTGCCCGGCAGTCGCACTTGCGACCACTCGGCCAACGAGGCAGACTTCTTCAATTCTGTAATGACCGACATTAATAAATATTTATAGTATTAATTCAGTTTGAAAATTAGGACTATTCGAACATTGAGCAATCGTGGTGATTAATGCTCAAACCTTCTCCGTGTAAGGTCAGGAGTCACTACTTATACGGTGGTGGTGAACACCTTAATCGTAAAATCTGGTCCAATTCTCCTCAAGTCTGCTAAAGTAGCTATGCCTCCTTAAGAATACAGTTTAAATGAAGCGTATAAATAAATGAATATCAACAAATATAATACGAAAAATCTTGTCAATAACTATCATTTGCATTTCTCATTGAATATCATAATATCTGCACAATTTCTTGGCAAATGTATCTACGTGTAATACAATTGAAAATCACCTTTATTTCTTAAGCGTTAAGAGCTATTTTCTGGTGCGTATTAAGACACCTATCGACCGAATTTTAACTATTTATATTTTGTATAACAGATTTTTTTAAAACGAAATTGTTTTATTTGTTACTGTAATTACATTTATCTATTTAAAATATTATCAAAATGGATATTTGAAAATAAAATAATAACACCCTTATTTTGATTTTTCATATTAAGATAATATCGAGCAAGTCAAATTTAATCGAAAAATTCACAAAATAACGGCTCATTTCGTACATTTTGTTTGACTTATGATAACAAACTAAAATCGAATAAAAATTCTTAAAGCATTCAGGCTTTATAACGTCTAACATGACGTCACAATGTCATGTTGTTCTAGCGCGACGCCATGTTGTTTTATGTGACGTCACATTGTCCTATGTGTAGCGTTATCACACCAAAAGGCGCCTTACGGGTTTCAAATTAAAGTTCATAATTATTTTCTAAAGGCAAGCACGGAGTAAGTACTGAGTTTTTAGATGAAAAAGGTTTTGTTATGCATTATTAAAATAATATTGTTAATTGTAATGAACTAGGTTTAGAGCTAACTATCTGAAGCGTACATTTTTTTAAGCTGTAACATTGGTTCGATAATATATTTTATTTTAAGAATATTCTTTGTTTCATTTCTCCTAGTATCCTTCATCTCTCTTTTGAGATTCAATATTAAAACAAAAAGTTAAGGGGGGCTTAGTACCTGCGGGCGACTGACTAGGGTAGTAAGTCGCTATACGGGCGGGAGTCGGTGTTAGCGTTGCGTTCCACGCGCGCCACTCGAGGAAGGAAACCAGTCTCCAAGGGCTGCTTCGTGGTGGGACCAGCCGGGTGCGGTGAATGCAAAGTCAAAATCATTTATTTCATTTAGACCAGAAAGGCACTTTTGGACGTCAAAACAGACGTTAGTCAAGCAGAAAGAAAAAGAAAATAACCTTGAGGACAAAAAATTTTAGTCTGGACTTCTGGAGCCGACCAGTCCTTGTTGACAGCGCCCGTTCACGAACATAACACGTTCACCAGCACCGGCCAACTTAACCATGTTGTCTGCTCTTGTCACTGCCAATGAGACTTTTGAGTGAGCATGACAACTTCAAGGTCCAAGTTGACACAAATGCATTCTACTAGTCTCAAAGGCTATCATATCATGCGTATAAGCAATCCGCAGGGTCACGGCCACAGGCAAAGGAGGATCACTGTTTTGACTTTAGCCGGTAAGAGCCCGGCACACCCCCGTCGTCTCCACGAGGCGGGAAGTCCATGAAGCATTCCATCGCGTTGTAAAAAAGGTATGAGTTTGTTTTACGTTTCGAGATCGAAATGAAACCGGGTTCGGCGCTTCGATTGACCGGCTCCAATGAACCAACAAGTTACAGCGCAGAGCGCGGTTTTCTTCGTATCCTAAGCTCTCTGTAAATACATTAAAAAAAATGCGTGAGTCAATGCGTTAAGATTGGTACCTTTCAGATGACATTTTAGTTCCTTGTGTAGAGTTTTAATTAAATTTTTTTCACCAGGTATTTTTTTTAAGGGCGGAAAATCATCGAATGACTGCTCCCGCCTGGGTGCGGCGGGAGGGAGTGTCAGACTCTTACTGACTAAAAACCACCCCGTTCCTACTCCTGCACGTCGAGCCGGAGCCCCGGTAACCCGTTAGGATCTCCGCGACTTTCACCAGGTTATAGATCCTAATACAAGGGATGTCATACTTCGTTCTTATTTCAAACTACGAAGTAGGTACACTGCTTTCTGTTAGCTATCACTTGATCAAAAAAGATAGTTGTACATAACAATATTTAGAAACGTACCTACACTAATTAGAATGATGTTTTAGTTATGTATATTCTTGTACATAGATCGACGGCTATGATTAGCGTGTTCATGAATAATGTAAGTAAGAATTGTATGAATACAAAAAATCTACTAGGGAAAGTCGAGTCGCTGTTCCTTTTTTTTGAGGCGTGAAAATCATCTAATGAAGAAGTCATTGGATGATTTTGAATGAAGAAGTCATTAGATGATTATCCCGCCCAGGTGAGGCGAGAGGGAGTGTCAGACTCTTACTGACTAAAAACCACCCCGTTCCTACTCTTGCTCGCAGCCGGATGAGCAACCTCTTACGTTTAGACCTGGTTGGTGAAAACGATCACTCTTGTAATTTCTTAAAAACCGCGTTGCTCAAAATAGGTCATAGGTACCATAGGACTTACTAAACAAACGGCACTCAAAATGCTTAAACACAATAATTACATCACAACATTTGTTTGCAGTGCTATAAATCTTAAGTTACATTTCTCATTAATATTCTACAAGCAAACGTTTGTTATTGTGTGTTGAATTTTGATAATACGTATAAAGTGATGTTCAAGTCAAGTCACTACTTTCCCTTGGTGGTCGTATTCTGGATCGCGAATGTCGAAAAATTGGTGGGTTGTTTTTTGTAAGGGGAAAATCATCGAATGACTGCTCCTCCCGCCTGGGTGAGGCGGGAGGGAGTGTCAGACTCTTACTGACTAAAAACCACCCCGTTCCTTCTCCTGCACGTCGAGCCGGAGCCCCGGTAACCCGTTAGGTTCTCCGCGACAGTCTAAAGTTTAGGTTCTAGGATAAGTACCGATATCTAATACCTTTAAACGAGCAATTCTTGTATGACATGTATCAAAGATCTTTGAAAGACTATAACGATTTTTTCGAAACTTTGGGGGCAATAAATCGATCTAGCTAGGTTTCATTTTCAGAACATGTCGTTTTCTAAAAAACAAAAACACGGAGCAAAATCCAGGTAACGTCAGATTATACGTCTGCTCGCCCCTAAATAACATCACGCCTTTTTATCCCCGAAGGGATAGACAGAGGAGCACATTACGGTACTTAATGCCACTGTACAATGTAACACCTTGTCCTATGTAGTAGGGGGTGAGCCTATTGCCATATACCGGACACAATTCCAGACTCCGTGCTAATATTGAGAATTAAAAAAAAACCAGTAATACTTTGCTCGACCCGGGAATCGAACCCGAGACCCCTTGCCCGGCAGTCGCACTTGCGACCACTCGGCCAACGAGGCTAGTTTGTCCTCTATTCCATTATTGTATAAATAACTCAGTTATTTACGACACCTAAAATCTCACTATTTATCGTACATCGTAAATTCGTCGGATCGTTGTCC